TTATCTATGTACTTTTTCTCGTATTTGTATGACTGGTGAAGATGAATATCAAGACATCATCAGCTCTGATTTTGCGCATATGGAAGTCAAGGAAAATGCACCCTGGCATTTTGGAGATTTTTTTTGTCTTTCAAAGCTGAATCTAAGTAATCTTACAGATAGTTATGTATATCCTGCAACTTCTTCTTCTATTTGTTCTAGTGTGGTTTGTGAATCAAATGGTGTAAAGTTGCATGTGTAACCAATGTATGAATATGAAGATGATGAAGTGACTCTTCATGTGTTTAGGTTCTCTCTTTTAGGGGGAGTAATGATTATGCATGACAGGGGGAGCTGTGTACTTGTTTAATGTGTAGCTGCATTGTTGTAGCTTGTACAAAGTTTGCTGATTCTTAGGCAAGCTTGTGTTCTTTGACCACTGATGAGGTCGTAATGTCAGACAAGATGTCTTGACATTGTGTTGTCTGGTGTACCTGTTTACCTTGACAATGTGATTATGGGTCTGGCCTTGTGAGGTTGTTGGTTTGAACTAGGATTGTGCTTGCTTCTTATGAATGACCTAGGAAACAACATTGGCTATTGTCTGGGAGAATGTATTTTTCTCTGCAGAATATTTGTGTATCTCATATTAGGGATTTAAAATCAATTGTTACTTGTGGCCTTAGTAAGTATTTAATTGATTATCCTTTAATTGGTGATGTCAAAAGTGTCACTCCTAAAGGTACAGCCTCAGACAAGGCAAGAACTCAAGATTCAATGACTATGTTCATAGGGTAAAGCTATGTGGAGTTTTTACTGTGGAGGATTAGTTCTCATCATGTTGAAACATGGTGTTTGATGGTCTTAATGAAGAAATCATTTCTTAAGGGGCTTAAGAATGATTACTGTATTTGTAATGTCAGACAGGATGTCTGAACATTTTGTCTTTGAGGAAGCTACATGAGAGTTTATTTCTCTCTATGATTTTCTGGTGTTTGTGATGATCTGTTAAGCTGCTACTACTGTGTTCTTCTGAGACCTTGTATATCTTAATGAAATGTATGAACTACTATGGAAATGATAAGTCATGTGGTTGGTGTATTAAGAACTAAATTGAGTGGTAAAGGAGTTGATGTTATACATGATGGGCTGGAATTAGGATTATGATGCTTGATACTCACAATTTGATTCAAAAGTGTTGTATCTAATCATGTTAGAGTATGATGTGGAGTTAGTGGTCAAAACTGATCTGGAGCATGGTGTAAAGTAGTCAGTGTGCTAGTTCATATGCATAAGTTGGATATAAAACTTAATGCTCTTATTTATGTTGGGATCAGAATGTGTGTGGGGAGGTGGTCTCTTCTCCTAGAAGTGATCTGGAAAAGAATGATAACTTGTGGGTGAATAGTTCAGGGTGTCAGGATGTATTCTCAAGGAACTATGGTATCTGGATCTATACAAATCAAGATTGATTTTACTGTGTTGGAGTGAATTCAGCAAGGGGGTTTAAGTCCTTGTCCATGGATTGTTGCTGCAGTAGGTGCAGTCTTTTTATCAGGGATCAAGCAGTTTGTGTATCTCTTGGGAGATTGTGAGACTGGATATTCAGATACCATGTGTAGTTTATCAGCCGAGTCCTGCTTTGAAGCATGGTGATTATGATTCGGTTTTTGGGTTTGGCTCTGTTATTTGTGTGCATCTGCGTTTATATGTGTGTACATTTACTCAAATATTTGTCAATTTTTGTCTAAAAAGGGGGAGTAAAGTGTATTAATGTTATCTGTTGTCTTGATGTTATGTCACATGTATTGACATGCTGACCAACATTGTGATAGGACTTTGCTACTGCTAAGGAGAGAGTAGTGTGTTGTTATTGCTTGTTGAATGCAACTATTAGGGGGAAGCATGATAGTTTGTGAGACTGGATGTATTTGAAAAAACTACTGTTGTTGCTGCCTTGATTAGTTTGTTTGGTTGTTTTAGCCAAAATTTATCAAAGGGGGAGATTTTTAGTTCCATGATTCTATGATTGGCTAAATTTTAGTAAAACATGATTCTGCACTGATGTTAAGCAAGATGTTATAACATCTTCATCTACTATTATGACAGTACTGTTGTCATGTGTTTCAAACAAGATGTCGAGACAGATGTCAGGACATCTTTGTTTGGTGCAGGAGCTGCTATTTTATATCTCTTGATAGAGGTGTTTTGGTTTGATGATATCCTATTGGATAGACCTCATCAGTATGCGCAGGTCAAAGAGATTTATTAGGAACAAAGTGCACATTTAATTGGGTTTCATAAAAAGGATCTTTGAGACCTTTTTAGGAAACTATAAAATATTCATTTCTATTTTTATGAAGAAGATTTTGCAGAAGATTTATGATGAGAAGATTTGATTGGCAGGAATTTTGGAAAAACTAGGTGTAATCAACAGATGTCCTACAGGATGTCGTGACATTTGTCTAACATGAATATGTTTGTGTATCCATATCTTTTTGTGCAAGCTTGCTGCACTATTCTGGTGTAGAACCTACGTGGTTTTGGTGGTTTTCTAAAGGCGTTTCTAATAGACTTATTATGGATTAGATTTGATTTGATATGGAGTTATTATTAGAAGATTGATTGAAGATTGGAAAAATGATATGATTAGATTTGATTGAACAAATCAAATCTGCTGCTATTTATGAAGATTGAAATCTTCTCTTCCTACTGTTACTTTTGACCAGCCCAAGCCCAGTCTGCATTACTATTTAAGGAGGTGAAAACCCTGAAGAAAGACAAGCATTCACAATAAGAAGATCTTGAGTGCAAAATAAGGGTTTAGGTTTTGAGAATCTCTTGTGTGCGTGACTTTGTAAGTCACCCTTTATATCTTTGGATGCATCGTGGTAGACATGTTTAAGCTGTTAGTTGTTAATTGTTCACTCAAAGCTTTTAAGCAAGAGTGTATTGTACTTGATTGAAGCTGTTAAGCAAAACCAAGTTGTGACTTTGAAGAGTGTCTTCTAAAGTATTTTCTTTTTGTATTGAATTGTTTATCATTGCTGTGATTGAGGGGGAGTGAGAGGTGTCTCTTGTCTAGTGTGTTCTAGGAAGAAATTGCATTGGGTAGGGATTAAGTGAGGGGTTGTAAACTGGGAGTTTAGCTCTGAATTAATACTACTGATAGTGGATTTCCTTCCTGGCTTGGTAGCCCCCAGATGTAGGTGATGTTGCACTGAACTGGTTAGATAAATTCATTATGTTATTTATCTTTCTACATTTAACATTCTGCTCGATTTAAATGGTTAGATAAATTGTTCTGTCAGTCTGCAGATGTTACAACAAATGTCATGACACTGTTAATTTTTAAAGTAATTTAAAATGCTCATGTTTTGTCCTTGTTCTGTTTAAGCAGAGATCAATGTTCTTAGCATCTCTTAGGACATCTGAGATCTGCATACCAGAATTTCAAAAGTTCCTAGTTCAGCTCCTATTATTAAGGTTGGCACAACATGCTCTAATAAAGGAGGGAATTTGTCCAATAAAAAGAAATCTAAGTTGAAAAGTATGTCAGATATTTGTGGGCCAAAGAATAAGAGACCCGGTAAGCCCAAGAAGAGGTTATTGGCCCATTTTGCAACTCACGGCTTGTTTGAAACAAGAGACCCAATTGAACAATTTTCTCAACCTTCTTTTTTTGATGTATTGAATGGAAGAAACCCTAGGCTCTCGTATTCTTCAAATCCTATATCAATTTTAGAGGAAACAGATGAATTTTCAGCTGGTGCAATCTTGTGTTGTGATTCTACTTCTGATTCAGATGTTCATAGGTGCAATCTCAAGTTCTGGGATAATTTTGAGCCTAATGTTAGGGATAGGTTATTGAGTGCAGTGTCAAAAACTAGGTGTGATGGCAAAGGACAATTCCAAGGATTTTGCAAAGAAGTTAACTGAGATGGAGGCTAAAGACAAAGCTCTATTCAATGGAAATGAGGCGAACAAAAAAGGTGATCCATGATAGTCAGTTCATTGAATATTAGAGGGGGAGGCAATCTATCCAAGAGGAAGAGATTGAACTACATTATTAATTCAGGTAAAGCTAACATTTTTTTTCATTCAAGAATCTAAATTGAAGGTGGTCGATTCCAAAATTATAGGTAGCTTTTGGAGTATTCATGATGTGGGTTGGAATTTTAATAAGTCTATTGGTCATTCTGCTAGAACGAAAACATGATTCAACCAATATTATCGTTCCAAGAGGAAGGATACTTGGGGGTCAAATTGGTATGGAAGAAGGAAGTTTTTTACATGATTAATATATACTCAGCTTGTGATATTAGTTCAGAGAGGAGGCTTTGGAGTAAAATTATTAGATTAAAAAGAAAGATGGTAGATGGTCATTGGATTTTGGGAGGCAATTTCAATGCGGTGTTTGAATCTTCGGAAAGGAAGGGTGTTTCTTGTTTGTCCAGGAGCATGAAGAAGAGGGAATTTAAAGCTTTTATCAATGAGTTAAATTTGGTGGATATGCCTGTTTAAGGTAATCATTTCACTTAGTTTAGAGGCAAAAGAATTCCATGAGTATGTTTGATAGGTTTTGGTGGATGATTTTATCATTGATAGATGGGGTATGGTGGGTCAATCTATTGGTAAAAGAGACATTCTAGATCATTACCCAATTTGGATGAAGATTGGTATCAGTAACTAGGGGCCCAAACCATTTAAAATGAATGATAGTTGGTTTAAAAACAGAGGATTCATCAAGTTCATGGAGAAGGAATGGAAGGAGTGACTTTATTATAAAAGAAAAACCTATGTTTCTGAAAGTTAGCCTCAAAAGTTGGAGCAGAGATGTTTTCAGCTAGTATGACCTTAGAGTAGAAGTGGGTGTGGAAACCATTAACCAAGTGGATAAAGATTTGATTCATGCTGCTAAGGAAGAAGTGATGCATCTTATTACTAGAAGATCTGAAGGATGCAGAACAGTCTGGAATAATTTATTCATTAAAGATAATATGCTTATTTAGAAATCTCAGATGAAGTGGTATAGAGAAGGAGATGTAAATTCAAAGTACTTCCACAAGCTAATCAATGGTAGAGCTAGGAAGAAATTTATTGGGGTTGTTGAAACCTCTCAAGGTACGGTTGATTCAGTTGAGGGAGTGAAGGAAGTTGTTCATAAATTTTTTAAACTGAAGTTCACGGAAGTGGGTGTGGAGAGGCCTGGGTTGGAGGGTACTTTTCTAAAATCCTTGTCTGAATCTGATGTTATTTTCTTGGAAAGGCCTTTCTCTGAAGAAAATTTTAAATTGGCGGTTTGGAGTTGTCGTGGAGACAAGAGTCCAGGTCCAAATGGATACAATTGTGTTTTTGAAAAATTGTTGGTCTTTTATGAAGTTGGAAATCTTAACTCTTGTGAAGGACTTCCATCATCTAGCTTTTCTTCCTAAGGAGGTTTCGTTGTTGTTTCTAACTCTTATTCCTAAAGTAGCAAATCCTTTAGGCCTTGGGGTTTACCGTACAATTTGTTTGGTAGGTTGTTTGTACAGGATCATAGCTAAACTATTGGCGGAGAGGTTGAAGAAAGTCATTTGGGGTCTTGTTTCTCATTGTCAGACTGCCTTTGTTTTTGGAAGGCAGTTATTGGATGGAGTTCTTGTTGCAAACGAAGTTATAATGCAGCTACGAGGGAGAAGAAAGAGTGTGTTGTGTTCAAAGTCGATTTCAGAAAAGCGTATGATTGTGTCTTTTAGGAGTTTCTTAGGTCGTTATTGTATAAGATGGGGTTTGGGAAGAATTGGATGAAGTGGATGAAGGCGTGCATATTTCAGTCTCACTTATCCATTCTTGTAAACAGAGTCCCTACATAATATTTTGTAGTTAAAAGAGGATTAAGGCAAGGAGATCCGTTTTTGCCCTTTTTATTTGTGTTAGTGATCGAGGGTTTGACTAGCATGATGAGGAAGGCATCGGATTTGGGTGATTTTGAAGGCTTCTGTTTTTATGAAAACACATCAGTAGAGTTAATACAATTCGCAGACGACACTCTGATAGTAGGAGGAGGCTATTGGAAGAACCTTTGGAGTCTTGAGGCCATTTTGAGGAGTTTCGAGCTCGTATCTACTTTGGGGGTAAATTTTCACAAGAGTCATAGTATCGGGATTAATGTGAGTGATCACTTCTTATTAGCAACTTCCAGTTTTCTTTCCTGCAATATTGAAGTTTCTTCTTTCAATTTTTTGGGTATTCCTACTAGGAGAAATACTAGAAGACTATCATCTTTAGGGGTGTGCATGGATAACCATTTAATATGAACCAATCCATTTTTATGGTTATGGTTTATAAACCAATCCATTTTTATGGTTATGGTTTATAAACCAAATCATTTGCTCTGAACCGGTTTAAAACCGGTTCTAAATGGATTTTGATTTTAATTCAAATTATTTAGTTAAATTTAAATTTAATTTTCTTTAAATTATATCAATTTCTAAATTTAAATACTTAGGTTTTAATATACTTTTTCTTTGAAAATTAAAAAAAAAATTAAAAAAAATCTAAAAAATTAAAAAATTAAAAATAAAACTGAAAATAAAAAATTCTTAAATAAAAAATTTCCGCAAATTATATTGACTTAAAATGATAACTAATATGTTATAATACACATATTTGTATATTTCAAAACCTCTATCTATTGGTGGAGAAATCTATAATATTTGTAATTATTTTTTGGTAAACCTTTAATAATCTTCGAGATTTATAAATGAAAATTAGAGTCAAATCCAACAAATCAAGTTTTGGTATATTTTTTTGCACATACCAAATCAAACTCGATGCACTAAGATCTATGTAATTAATTACTGAAAGGTTATATAATTAATCGCTAAAAGTCCATATAATTTGTGAAACATTAGTACACCATTTTAGGTAGTTAAAGAATTTATAAACAATTTTTTTTTCATTTTGAAAAACAAAATTCTGAATTTTTTGTAAAATAATTTTTTTTATAAAATTAAAAAAAAATTAACTTTAAAATAGTTCAAAATATAAAATTGGTTTATAACAACGTGTAGATGATAAAACATGAAAAGAGACAAAAACATATCAATTTAACTAAATAATAAAATTTGGATACCCAATAACTAAACCACATAGAAACTGGTTTATATTTAGATAACTAAATGGATAACCAAATTTATATTTTAGTATTTGGTTTGAATTTTTAAAAGTGAAACAATTTGGATACAAATTTGGTTAACAATAACCAGTTTTTTTTTTTTTTGCACACCCCTAATTGGAGTCTTGTTGGTTCTAACAAAGTAGGTAATGTAAAGATGATCTCTATTTGGTTGGATGTGGTTTGGAGTATATGGAAGGATATGAATGAGATTATTTTTAATGAAGGTAGTTACAATGTAAATGATATTTGCTGGAAAATTAAGATACTAGTTTGGAAGGGGTCTTGCATTAAGGATATTCCTTATTCCAACTCTACATGCTTTTTGTTTGGATTCTGTCATACCCCAAATTTTACCCTTAGATTATTAGGGTCATTTCACATTTCATTCTATTCTGGATTGCGTTTTAACTAACTGTTAACCGGTTTCTTCAGTCTGTTGGTTTTTGTAGGAAAATTACATTGTGTGCGATCTAATTTATGAAGGGCAAAAGAGTCATTAATTTGCAGTCTGCTGAAAATTTATGAAGCCAAGTCGTCATCGGGAATTCCTCAAACGATTAGGGTTTCAAGATCGGGTCATGTCATTTTATTTGAGAATGAGCTGAATTTTAAGACAGTTTTTGACGTCAGATATCTCGTGATACAACACATTTTATTCGAGAGCCGAGATTCAGTCTTCAGTTGGATTTCAGAAGTGCTTGTTGATTCGTAAAACGTATGGAGCTGAGTATGTTGCAATACAAGTGGATTCAAGTTAAATCGGTGCGAGAATTCACTTAAGAATTTATTCTGACAGACACATGTTTTCCTGCTTTCTGCTAGTCGTCAGTCGATTTTAAAGAAAACGGTGGAATTTCAGTTCGTGTTGAATTTACAATAGACATTTGTGGGTTTGATAATGATTATTAGTCGAGCTAATTCAGGTTACCGAGTTAAATCATTCGAGATGTGATTTGAATTTTCAATACAGAAGACAGTTCGTTTCGCCGTTTAATTGAATTTCTCTGCTTATCTGTTCAAGGCCGTATTCACTGATTTTATTATCGAATATGAATTAATTTGCAAAGGGATTGGTTTGAACTCAGCAGTTACGTCGGATTTAAATCGTGCAAGATGATTAATTATCGAATTCGAAGTTAGAACGTCAAAGCTTAATCAGACAATTTTAACCGGGTGAATCAGACGAATTTATTTGGATGAGTTTAATCAGATGGGGTTAGTCATTTGAATTTAATCAGATGAATTTTAATCGAATGGACTTAATCAGGTGAATTTATTCGGTTGAGTTTAATCAGATGAATTGTTTGGAGAAATTTAATCGGAGAAGTAAATTTAAGAAAAATGGAATTTATTTATTTAAATTCTATATGTTTTATTACAATGTACAAGAATAATTACAACATTAATTCCTAAGTCCTAAAATTCCTATTTGTTCTACGTTTGTCTTCGTGCTGATCTTCATCTTCGACTTTTTTTCCGAACCTGCAAAAAAGTCGACAACAGAGAAAACAAGGGTTAAAGTTAGAATTAATCAGAAATGGGTTTGTTTGTATTCTGATACCCTCAATTAATTTTCATCATCGGGTATATCGGGAGGGCAACAACGACGAGGTCGTCGCCAGCTCCCGACTTTTAATTTCGACCCCGGCACTGACCAGGCAACATCTATTCAATTTGTTCCAAGAGAGAGAAAACAGTTTTTTTTTTGGAAAAGTGATTTTAGAAAAAAGTGCTTTTGGAAAAAGCACTTTTCCTGAAAAACGATTTGTTTGCCAAACATGTCATAAACAGGACTTCCTCAAAGTTCTGCAACCAAACAAGATCAAACAAATTTTCCACAAAAACAGCACATCAAGTCCGAAAATATTTGCTCCAACAAATCAAACAGAATCATTATAAAAAAGGGCAATAATTCCTCCGCAAATCTATGTTCCAAAACCATATCAAAACAGAAAAATCATTGTAACATGATAACGAATCCATGCCTAAATCTCAGAAATAAGAATAATATAAGAACATTAAAGAATTTCATCAAAGGGGGATGAAGAACCATAAGGATCCAACTGGAAACAACGGCGGCCCAACAAGAGGAAGAAGATAAAAGCTCATCATCACGAAAATCATACCATCCGCGGCAGAACCCTAAGAGAGGTCACCATCACCATTAATTAAGAGAACGGCAGGCAAATGGAAATGCCACCGCGCCACCGCATTCACCGTCAACTACCAATCGCTTCAAACCCAGTACAAAAGGGTGAGCAATTTGATATTAATTGTTTTTATTTGTGGTTGCAGAAGCTCAAGGAGGAAAGAAGAGCATAGCCATGGCGGACAAGAGAACAAGAAGAAGAATGAACGAGAAAAAACAAAGCAAGGCCACAAGAGGAAATTTGCGCCGCCGCTCTAAAGAAGAGGGTTTTCACAAACCCTAAAAATCACAGCAACCCTTTTGACCCATTCTCCCTATTTATTTTGCATTTACTTTTTTATTTTTATAATGTTATTTATGAGTTTAATTAAATATTTAAAAATCTATTTAGTAAAAATCCTTTTAGCTTTGGTACATTAAAATTAATTTTTAAAACAACTAACACATTTTTAAAACTTAACGGTTAACACCCATTATATGTAGTTCATCTAATTAAAACTATTTTTTATAGAAAAAGAGATGCTAAATAAATATCAATTTTAATTAACAAAATTTTTAAAATAAATCTAGCTTCCCCCAAATTAATATTTGTTTTTAAACGTAACTTTCTTAAGAAATAAAAAAAACTCCTTTCTATATAAAATAAATTTATTCTTTAAAAAAATAAAAATCCATTCCTTTATGAATAAATTGACACCAAAGTTTTTAAAATAATAAATAACATTTTCTAAAACATTAAAGTTAAGATTAATTTTCAATTAATTTTAAAAAATTTTCTTAAAAATATTTTCTAATTTTCTAACAGTTCATTTTTAGTTTCTAATTGAACTGTCGCCTAAATTGCAGATTTACCCCGTTAATTCTGTCTAACGCTTATGTCGTTCTCTTTTGTTTCTCAGTTGTACAATTATTAATCTTTTATTTTCGTATTTCATTTTGGTTTGTAATTTATGCGAGGCAATCGTCGATGTTTTTTTTAATTTTGGTACTATTCTTACACTTTCCCATATTTCATACTGCCGCTTAATTATTTTCATTATGCTTATTTACCGTTAGTTTCCCCTCCGAAGGAATAGGTCTAGTCGTTGACCTCCGCGTCATTAGTCTTTATTTTTTACTCTTTG